ATAGAGTCAGCGTAAGGTGGACGCTTGGGGTACTTACCATTAACAACTGAAAACCGGAAATTCCAGTTGGAAAATCAAATGGTTCGCGCCATTCCGTTTTGGAAGATTCAGAAAGTAGCGGCTGCAATTTATGGCAATGCAATTTTTCCACACCTTAAAGTCTGTTCAGCTGATTTGGATATACTTTGTAGCGCGTTCTACTCTCACAAAAAATTTAGTAAAAAAAATTATGTTTATCCACAAGATTTCCAGCCGGGTAGTTAATGGTAAGCACCCTTGGATTTTAAAGAAAAAAACAAACAAAAAATGTGTAGTAATCCAAAAAAAAATGTGGTAAAACCATTGAAAACGTTTCATTGACGTTGGGTAATTCACTCCTTTGTAATCTGGGTGTAATGTAAGAAGTCTTAACCGAAAAATCTATTAGTTTGCATCAAGAGCCATTATCGCGCTTGTTTACATTTACACTTCATCGCGATCAAACCAGGGAAATTTGCGAGGGCTATACAAAGCACTTCAAAGCTAACGTTGTTATGTTCAGTGTTGAAAGTGTAAATGTTACCAGTAAACTGTTAAATTTACTGTTATAATATATATTTACTACACTTCTTGAAGGTTTACTAAAATAGTGTGGAAAACTAAAACTGGTGTTATGGTCGGCGCCATTTTGCCACCATGAGATTACTAATGCTCGAAGCGTGTTCAACTAAACAATGCTGGCTAAATATTTTAACTGGTTATTTTATACATCCTTGCTCATGCTCTATTTTCTGGAAATTGAAATCCCAACAAATAAAACAAGAAAACGCCTCAGACTATTGTTAGCACGTCATATTCCAAGGTACCCAGAGGCTCGTTATATCGGGTCTTTTCCATTAAATTTTACATTAACTGAAACGGGAATATCATTCGTTATAGGGGGATTACTTTGACCGAGGTTCCACTTTATTAACTGTAACAGGTGTGTGGTTAACTGTCTGTAAAGAGGATACTCTCGAAACTATGTGAACACTTGTCTTGGGAAAACAGTTGAAACCACTGATCTCGGAAAAACAAGAAAAACACGAAACGACAAAATCCTTACTTTTTCAGGGTTACCATTTTTATTATTGTCATTTGACTACGTTGGAACCAATAAAAATTCACAGGCATCACTTTTTCACTTCACACCATTCCACCCGTTCATCTGCAGTGTAGTTCCCACCCACTCCTTACAAGGGATTACAAGCCAATGGAGAGTATCATGAAAGTTTTTCTGGCAGAGTTTTGAAAACTGAATCCTACTGACGTCTTCGTGCACCTGCCTACGTTTCACGACACATCAAGTTGTTAAATTTTAAAGAATATTTCGCCTAATAAATATGAGGGGGCCGATCGCTCTCTTGCTTTCAGAAATCCGGACAAGAAGCATTGTTTTTTCTTGGCGTCAACTATCAATATTAAGACTGACAGGGCCCTCCAATTTAGTCAATCAATTTAATTGTCATTGGACTTCAGACTGACTCTTTTAAAGTCAACAGCTTGTTCTTGTCACACAGGTGTCTCTTCACAGGAGTTGACTAATTTTTGTCCCTCTTGACGGATTGACGCACCCTTAATATAAGAACTGTTCTTTGAATCATTGAGAAGGGAGGGGAGAGTTTAGCTGAGACCTTATTTTAATTAACTGTGGAAATGTATTTAAAGAGAAAAATTTGCCTGTCTCCCGTATGTTTCATTTTTTCAAACAACAAGTGAAGGAGTTTTTTTTAGGTACATTGCGATTAATTCTGGATTATAGTGACAAACGTAATTAAATGAATTTTATGTTTCCAAGATGGCGGCCTTCATTTTGTATGACGTCTCAGTTGTCCAGGCAGTGTCATGTCCCGAACCACTTTATGCATCATGTAATGCACATCAAACATGATCACAGGCTTCAGGTTACCAAAACAGTGCAGCATAGATAATGTACTGATAAGGGAAGGGGTAGGACACACCCCTACCACCCCTCCCCCACCCCCCCACCCCCCCCATTCCCTTGCTTGTACGTCTGAGGATGAAATGTCAAAAATGCACAATACAAACAGAAAACAAAAGATAGTTCTGCTAACAAAAATCGTCATTTTATAATTTTATCTCCAGCAGACACAGTGTTAAAACAATTGGAAACATTTCTAAACATTGGCTTCCTATCTAACCCCTAATTACATATTCCTATAAAAGCATGGTTTAATATTATCAGCTGATTTCAACTTGACAAGATAATTCAAGCCCTTCTGCCCAGAAAGAGCAGCTACTCTGTAGATACTCGGTATTTTCACTATAAACAATTTTCTACCGGAGAAGTGTTGTGTGATACCGACAAACTAAAGCACACTGCTCATTAACACATGCGAAACGCACTATCACTGCTATTCACGTAGCGCTAGTAGCCGGATCTAGGTTAATATTTGCGACCAGTGTTGAGCTTAGTAGCTGTAAAGCCCCGGAGACATTCAGTCGTTTTTTCACATTTCATGATCATACCATGAAATGAAAATGTCTCATTTTAACTTAAAGAACTACTAACTTCTGTGGTTAAAACCGTCCAGAAACTGCCAAAGATGTTTAATTTGAATGGTCGCGGCAAATGTTGAGAGCAAAGGATTTCGTCCTTGAACCAAAACGTCATTACAAGTAACTGAGCCGTCCTTTCTAGTGGTACTATTTACTATGCGAATGCAACTAAGTAGAACTTTGCCACTTTGAAATATCGTTCACATGCTGAGTCAAGAAAAGGGCGTTACCCAGATCCGGCTAGCCAGGCCTTAGGCTGTCTATTTAAACTAGGGTCAACTTGATGATCAATTTGATTCCTTCGTCACCTTGTTAAAAATACTGTACATGATAAAAAGATTCTCATAAAAGAGATAATGAAAACGTCTCCGTTTTACCCTTTTCGCCGCATCTTGATTTCAAAATATATATTCATCATCCATATATAAAAGTCTAATAAAATGTTCATAAAAATGCTCAACAGTTCCTCGCTTGACACGGACGATCGGTGGGCATGGAAGAGACCTTGCAGTTTTATCTGTTGAAGGTGGCTCCCCCAGGTTTTCGCTTCAGCGTTTGTGATTGCAAGCTTTCAGTCATCAAATCTTAAGAAAGAAAATAGAACGCCATAGGTTTATCTACGCTATCACTGCTCATTTATTCTTAACATTCAAGTCAATGGTAAAAAAAACTAAAGGTAACAAGTGCAGGTACTGCCGCCGCCAGCCGACTGCGCCGTTTAATTTGAATGGTCACACCATCGAATTTATCAGAGGCCACAGTTTGTTCAAAAGGTGGATAGCTCTATCCACTGGATAAATCACTATCCCGCTGAAAACGCAATTAGTTTTCGTAATACTTATCCAGTGGATAGCGATTTATCTGGTGGATAGCGCTATCCAACTTTTCAACAACCGGGTCCAGAATTACATGACAGGTATCAACAAAAAAACGTGGAACTACGAAAGTTGTGTGTTTGAAGTGCTGCTTGTGGTCTCGAGCGAACCATAAACAGTTGCAAAAATGCTCGCGACACTGTAATACTTTGGCTTAACTGATCCAGTGCCCATGATCTTGTGCTTGTGATCCCCCTCCTCCCTTTATTAAAGTTGCTAGAATGCAAGACCATTCTCAAAACTTAAAAGAACAACTTTGAATGGACGGGAGGGGGAGGTGAGTTTTATTCCTCACAGATGTTTGACGAGCAGCCATTCGAAGTAGGAGGATTTTTGCACCTGGTTGTAGCTCCAACATAATTCCATCAGTGCTCTTTATCAATACCCTTAACAAGTGGACCACGTCTGAAACCATCTAAAGTGCTCATAACCTAGCCTGAATTTCAGACGATTACTTCGAGTCGTTTATACTCCCTCAGTAACGTCTGAAATGCCGTCCAGTGACGTCATTACTCTTTGCTTTAATTCATGCAAAGAGGAATACACGATTGTCAAGATTCGTCTTAGTCTTTTCTCAGAAACAAAGGCACTGAGACGAAAATTAAGGAACTATGACGTAAATTACGGAACACGTGACTTTAGATACAGGCAAACAAATGTGGAGTTCTAGAAATATTTCATAAAATTCAGAAACTGAAAAAGCTATTTAACGGTAAAACATGTCAGTAAGATGTGTTGCAGTGAGATACAGTAACACTGGCGACCCTAAGAAACAGATAAGCATGCATAAAATCCCGTTTTTCGGTTACTGAATTTATGTCTCATGAAGTCACATATGAGCCTGTCAATTCCGTGATCAGCGGAACGGGTGGGAATTAAGACTTAAAATCGTGGAAGTTCCTGTAGAAATGTAGCCTGTACACAGACGCTGTTTTATTTTTCTTTTCGTTCTTTTCGAAAACATCGGCGACGGTCAATAAATCCCCCGCGGATTTGTTTTTTATCACGTGCGCTCGACGAACTTGGAAGAGAAAATAGAGGGTCTGTGAACAGGCTAGTAGAAATGTGTTCTTTCAGTAACATAATTAAAAGTTTTAGGCTATCGGCACTTTATAGGTTATATTACATTAATTAAGAATAACTTTTTTCAACCGCCTGTAAGGAAAGACGTTCCCTGTACCACTTCAACACACAGATTCAAACCATTCTCAAATGAGAGACGAGTGAATCAGTCAAACAAGCCAAAGAAAAATAATAAAAAAAAAAACCACTTTGACTAAAAAATTCGAATAATAGCTTTGTGCCACGACACGCTTGTATTCACAAGGAAAGAAAGGAGAAGAGCAGCAAAAAACGGAAGAGAGAGATGTAAACGCCACGATTTTAAAGGTTGTGTGGTGTGACAATTTTCTCTCCCGCATGATCAAAGCGGCGAGAGTTAAACCAACTTGCGTCTTTCACTACATGTTAAAATACGACCTGTAACCGGAAGGGCATGGGTTCGAATCTCATTCAGCACTGGTGAAGTGTTAAGTATCAGTCAATGAGATTTACGTCTTTTCATTATGTCATGTTAGAAACGGAAACGTTCACACCAGTTCGGAGTTTAAATGTGTAACGTTTACCGCTTCTTCCTTCGCCTGCAAGTGACCGAAGTTTTCCATCGTAACTATCTCAAGAGTAGCGGATAAGCCATCGTAAACGGACAATAGTGATCCCTGCCGTAAACAGCCGTAAAGGCATAACTTTGTATAAGACTCACAAGTTGTGAAGGTTATACACATATTAACTTACCATTTGACTTTTTCCACGTAATTACCAGGAAACGTGCCAAATAAATTGGTGCGAGCAGACGTTCCTACAAACCAGCCATCATCACATTTCTCCAATACAATCACCTCATCACCTTCCTCAAGACGTAACTCGTCTTCATTAACAGGTTCATAACTGAACATAGCGCGATATCTGAAAAGAAAAAAAATCATTTTCAAAAAAAGCATACCGTTCAAACTACTTAAATTAATTTTTTTTTCAGGAGAAAGAAGAAAATAACTTGCACTATTGAGACAACGCGCGATCGACTGTTGGCCAATCGATGGCCGAAAATCAAAAAGGTATTTTTAACAGCTTTACCTGCCTTATTCCAATTAATCTATACTATGTATGCTCAGTAATACGTCACTGTACCTTTCCCCTTGTTCGTGTCCTATTCTCGGCGGCTCATCAATAACTGCATGAGCCACCACTCCTCTGCTACCAAAACGAGGCTCTTCTCTCTCCTCAATATACTTGACTTGTGTTTGCTTGGGAGCCTGGCCTGAGTACATATTCCCAGATGGACTGGTAACAACAAAGAATTGGAACGTAATCAACATCATTCATTGTTTAGTGGTGAGAGAAGGGGCCAAAACAAGCGTACTGCATGAAGCCTGCATTGTCAGACAAACTGCATTGAGGCATTTACATGTTCTATTTTTTTCCTTCTAAAAAACATAGAGATACATAGACACACTGGCAGTTTGTGCGTGAAGTGGTGGGTCTTGCCTACGTTGAATAGTTTTGACCATTTCGCAAAAACGTTTATCTTGCTTTTTCAACGGAACTGTCTCCATGTGCCACTATCCAACAATGCTTATGGTGAAGTCACTTCCGAATAATAGTGCGCATTTTAAGTATTTTTAAAAACCGTTTTTAATGTTGTTACATTACACCCAACTTACCCTCTCGACTGCTGATCTGGACGTTGATCGTAGCCAAGTTCTGTTCTTCCATAATCGGGAGCCTGACAAAGAAAACAAAGTAAACATGACATGTTATCAAAGCATCAAAACATCTAACAGTGACCCCCGTGATTAAAACTTCTTGGTACATTCGCCACGCCAGAAACCTAATGTCGAAACAGTGGCTCTTAGTACTCTGGGATCGTTGAAGAATCCAACACTAGACTAGTTAAGATCAGTTATTAGGGTCAGAGGCTTCAATAGGCAAATAATAATTAATCATTCACCCACCCAAAAATGCCCCAATAATTGAAAGAAGCCCCTTTTTACGGTGAGCCTTATTACGAGTGGTAAGAGGTATTAGAACAGGCTTTCCACCTGAGCGATTGGTTATGGTGGTAAATTCATATAATACGTTTCAGTAAAATTCTATGGAGTATTACCTCACGTGGGGAAAGTTAGAATTTTGGTGCCGACTTCTAAAGAGGGAGCGCCTTTTCAAGTGGCACAGAGTCGTGCATCTTAGCCCGGAACATACATCTCATTTGGCAAACTTACAATTTTTGTGGTGAGTTGGAGACAAGAGGGCCTTTTTCAGTAGTACGACTCTTACAATTCTTGTAACGTTTATAAGATGCTTTTCAATAGAGATGCTTAGAATTTGAGTGGCGTGTTGTATTGTTACCTTTGGTAATGATGCAAAGCCACCCCTAAAGTGAATTTTTGAGCAAATTTGATGTATCACGAATCCGACCCCGGCTACGGCGGGTTACCCCACCTTGGCAAAATATGACCCCGGCTGAGGGGTGGGCTGTCCTCCACCTCCACGAAATCAACATCATTCATTGTTTAGTGGTGAGAGAAGGGGCCAAAACAAGCGTACTGCATGAAGCCTGCATTGTCAGACAAACTGCATTGAGGCATTTACATGTTATATTTTTTTCCTTCTAAAAAACATATTTCATAAGGGCGAAGGGAGATACATAGACACACTGGCAGTTTGTGCGTGAAGTGGTGGGTCTTGCCTACGTTGAATAGTTTTGACCATTTCACAAAAACGTTTATCTTGCTTTTTCAACGGAACTGTCTCAATGTGCCACTATCCAATAATGCTTATGGTGAAGTCACTTCCGAATAATAGTGCGCATTTTAAGTATTTTTAAAAGCCGTTTTTAATGTTGTTACACCACACCCTACTTACCTTCTCGACTGCTGATGTTGACGTTGATCGTAGCCAAGTTCTGTTCTTCCATAATCGGGAGCCTGACAAAGAAAAAAAAGTAAACATGACATGTTATCAAAGCATCAAAACATCTAACAGTGACCCCCGTGATTAAAACTTCTTGGTACATTCGCCACGCCAGAAACATAATGTCGAAACAGTGGCTCTTAGTACTCTGGGATCGTTGAAGAATCCAACACTAGACTACTTAAGATCAGTTATTAGGGTCAGAGGCTTCAATAGGGAAATAATAATTAATCATTCACCCACCCAAAAATGCCCCAATAATTGAAAGAAGACCCTCTTTACGGTGAGCCTTATTACGAGTGGTAAGAGGTATTAGAACAGGCTTTCCACCTGAGCGATTGGTTATGGTGGTAAATTCATATAATACGTTTCAGTAAAATTCTATGGAGTATTAACTCACTTGGGGAAAGTTAGAATTTTGGTGCCGACTTCTAAAGAGGGAGCGCCTTTTCAAGTGGCACAGAGTCGTGCATCTTAGCCCGGAACATACATCTCATTTGGCAAACTTACAATTTTTGTGGTGAGTTGGCGACAAGAGGGCCTTTTTCAGTAGTACGACTCTTACAATTCTTGTAACGTTTATAAGATGCTTTTCAATAGAGATGCTTAGAATTTGAGTGGTGTGTTGTATTGTTACCTTTGGTAATGACGCAAAGCCACCCCTAAAGTGAATTTTTGAGCAAATTTGATGTATCACGAATCCGACCCCGGCTACGGCGGGTTACCCCACCTTGGCAAAATATGACCCCGGCTGAGGGGTGGGCTGTCCTCCACCTCCACGTAAACAGGCCCTAAATGAGATGCAGTTTAACAAGATGTACGACTCTGTACCTCTCTACAACTCAGTCACATTATTTTTCCAAGTAATGAACTTCGCATGAATTTAACAGATACACCACTTGATCCAACTGCACAAATCGTAAACATTGGTTTTGAAACTCGTACCACTCGTAAGAGTTTCACCGTTTTAATCTCACTTTTATTGTAGATGAGGAGTTGTAATACACTAAAGAGAATATAGCCTTTACCTGCTCCACTCGGGCGGACGGGACTGGCTGTATTTGTTCCTGACGAATAACTAAAGAATACAGAGTAGGAGATATATAACTCGGTGATGAGACAGAATTTTATAAGAGANGTGTTGTATTGTTACCTTTGGTAATGACGCAAAGCCACCCCTAAAGTGAATTTTTGAGCAAATTTGATGTATCACGAATCCGACCCCGGCTACGGCGGGTTACCCCACCTTGGCAAAATATGACCCCGGCTGAGGGGTGGGCTGTCCTCCACCTCCACGTAAACAGGCCCTAAATGAGATGCAGTTTAACAAGATGTACGACTCTGTACCTCTCTACAACTCAGTCACATTATTTTTCCAAGTAATGAACTTCGCATGAATTTAACAGATACACCACTTGATCCAACTGCACAAATCGTAAACATTGGTTTTGAAACTCGTACCACTCGTAAGAGTTTCACCGTTTTAATCTCACTTTTATTGTAGATGAGGAGTTGTAATACACTAAAGAGAATATAGCCTTTACCTGCTCCACTCGGGCGGACGGGACTGGCTGTATTTGTTCCTGACGAATAACTAAAGAATACAGAGTAGGAGATATATAACTCGGTGATGAGACAGAATTTTATAAGAGACACCACGCAGCCAAATTCTTTATAAAATCTTGATAAAGTATTTTCCGTGAGCGAACATCCTCAGTCTGACCACTAGCTTTGGTTCTTTCGAATTCTTGGTCGCTTACTGTTGAACTCCTTGGCTATGACGTTACAAGCCAACACTTTACCTCATGCCAAATGGGGTTTTTAATCCCGTTATGTTCTACTAGTATTAAGTGGAGTGACTGTAAACTGTCTCGGGTAACTAAATGCATTTCCTCGCTAAACAAGGCATTCACCATTTTTTTTTTGTCTCACTCTGCCACTACAGTATTGAGATGCGTGTGATAGTTTAATTCCCGAAGGAGACGTTCTAAACAGTTAGGCAGTCTGTTATATGACCTTCTATATACCTACCTTGAACTTCAGGCTCCTTATAAACCTATAATGAAAATGGTACATGTCAGCGATAAATGGTTCTAGTTTTATTGCACCGCCCTGGCGCGATATACGTAATGTATCTCTACCAGTTTACGATTTGTGCTTTCAGCGCGAAAGTATAACCTGTTTGTAAACTGCGGCTTTGGCGGACCACGAGCAATGTTTCACCCAACTCCCGCTACTGCGAACGCCATCGGCACTGAAGTTAAAGTTCGTAGAAAACTCGAGTATAAGAGGCGTGGTATTCACTAACATTTAAATTGGCATTAGTACTAATTATAGAGCAGGAAATATATTTTCATATAGCAGCGATACGACTTAGTGGCCTCAAAAGGGAGAAAACACAATAAATATGTTGAGAGATACCCCACTCGATGTCTGTCAACAATAAAACCGCGATGCTGGAACCCAAAAATGTGTCAGTAAGTCTATCATAGCCAGAGTTTTTGCCGAGGATTTAGCAGCTGTCCATCACATTAGAGAGTTTAAGCTTCACGTAAACGGCAAACGGCAAACGTCAGATTCAAGTTAAGAATTTATCAAAATAGAAAATGAGCAGATAAAAACAGTTCAGAAAATTCTTATGGATAAAAAATTGCGTGAAACCACTAATTTGTGTGTAGAAATAATGAACAGTAGGCGACAAGTAACAGGGAAACTTGGTCACGTGGTACAAATTAGCGTTTGTTGTATGACGATTACAAAACGATTGAGACCTCTTACCTCTAAGTAACTTGATGGTACAATTCCTTTCCTATCTCCCACTCGTCCCTCGTACCAATTACTGTCAACTTTTCGAACTAAGGATATTATATCTCCCTAAAAAAGGAACAAAACAAATTTTTCGTGGAGGCAGCGTGGCCAAGCGGTTAGAGGCCCCAGAGGCCCCGAGTTCAGGAACCACCCTGAACGTAACGCTGGATTTATTCTCTGTAGTCCCGAGTTCGAATACTCGGCCACGCTCGTTCCTCCAAGGTGGGATTTTTAACCATGTTATGTTCCATTTGAAACAATTTTTTATTATCCCTGAAAAGCCCCATCAGGGGAGAGGATAACTAAGTGTTTTATTAAGTTTATTGCCAAGTTCTCCTCTTTATTACCACTTTCACCCCTTGGGAATGAAGGTTAAGTGGTTAAAGAATACACACGATAGTCTTAACGAAATTTCATGGATTTGCCGGTGAGAAAGTGGCGAGCCACCATACCTTACTACAGGGAAGCTCTCTATGTGTTTCCGCTTTGAAGCTGTATTTAACTTTAGCTTCACCCTCCACATTAACAGTCTGAGTAGCAGGGCGTGCTGAGACCTGCTGAGCTTGGGGTGGCTGCGGAGTATACGAGGATGCCGCCGGCTGACGCTGTTGAGGGGGAACCTCATGTTGGACAACTTGCACACGAGGAACAATCTTCTGTGAGGGTGCAACATGAGTTGGTTCATCATCTTCTTCTACGGGGCGAACCTTCGTAAACAGAAGATTAACGTTCATTATTATTCATTCAAAATATTTCTCCATTTCTGATTGGCTCGAATCCCCCCTGTTTATTCTTCAGGACCAGCTAACTTTGACCAAATTTGGGAGACACTTGCGATATCCGGTAAAATGACGTCAGCAGTGCAGGCTATCGCCAGAAAAAGGTTCCGCAACCGAGAGGCTCTAGGAAAGACGTTGCGTTAGCTCAGTTGTTTTGGTAGATAATAGCGCAAAATTTCACAGGTTTTGCGAAGAAGAAATAGCCGAACTTCTGCCTAAAACCATAGTAAGAATAGCAAAACTACAACTCAACGGTTGAAAACTGCTCTTGAAAAATAACTGCTAGACCACACATCTCCTTACATGTAATGTCCTAAATTTGCCGAATGACAGACAAATAACATCAATTGAGGTAAGTATGTTGTGAAGCATGAACTATTTTGAATGAATAATAAAACACATTATTGGATCCAGCTTTCGTACGCGTGTATTCTGAAGAATTGCCCTCGGCGGATAATATCCTCCGAGATCTGCATAATTCTTCATATTATTAACGATAGCCCTATGGGTGATTTGGCAATATCAGGTGGAGTTTCGTAAGCAATAGACCAAACTTTCTATGGGTTTACTGTCGTGATAACCCACGCGGGATGTTGGAAGAACGCGAGAAAAGCCTGTAAATCACTTTGGGCTTGAGATTTACTAGCTTTTCGGGTGTTCTCTCAACATCCCAAGTGGGTTATTACGCCGGTAAACCCATAGAAAGTGTGGTCTATTGCTTTTATAAAATAACTTTATGTTTTCTATGAGTTTACCAGCACAATAAACAATAGGTTTTTAACCAATAAGAACACGCGTACTATCTTAGTCATTTTATAATAGGAAAGATGCGTCGCTTAATGATATGGAGCATTACTGCCCCGCAGTACTGTTTATTTTATCAATAGTGGATGAAAATTTACGACATAGCTTTTTGATATTTCTCAGTATGTATATAATAAAAGATTATTCTACTTTCTGACTGTGCGGATGAAATCTCCACGTTTTACAACGTATATACAAGCTACAAAGCAGTATTTTACTGTCAAATGCGGTACTTTTTTTGCGGTAGAAAGTGGTTCTAACTTCGTCAGTGAAATGCAATCCCTATAGTGTGACCATTCAAGACTCTCTTAAGCTACTAAACTTTGGAGTGTGCGGAAGTAATACCAAAGTATGATGTTCCATTAAAAAGTTACTTCGTTTCGGAGCGTTGCTAATTACACGCAGCAAGGTCTCTACATTTCAGATGTAAACCAAACGTCTGGCCACATAAATCTTTTCAATCAACCAAGCAGTCAAATACCTCAACATAATTTGTCGGGAAAATTCCACGCCTTCCGTTGAGTTCTCCATCTATCCAGTTCTTATCTACTTGCCGTCTAACGCTGATAATATCACCTTTTCTAAAGGACAGCTCCCTGAGGAAGAAAGGAAATCATTTTCGGTCACGGAAATAAAACGAATTTTCCGATTTAAGGTTATATTTGTAAAGCTCTTGTTAAATGTCATTCTCAAACTCATTCACAATTCGCGCGTGAAGATCACTGAAGTGAAAAAGGTTTGGAAAAATGTTTGCTGCATTCAACTTCGCATTTTGTCAAGAATTGTAATTGTAAAAGTTTTTTCAAACACTCCACAAACGGTTTTTTTTTTCCAAAGTAAATTGATGTCTTACTTTGCAGTTTGACCATTAAAGGTGTACAAAGCTCTGGCAATAAACTGTGGTTTGCTGGCCTCTCTCCTGACCCTCTCCTCTTCCTCTCTCCGTCTCCTGGCCAGTTCTGCTTCGTATTCTCGCCTCAATCGCTCCTCTTCTTCTTCTCTTTTTCTTCTCATCATTTCCTCCTCGGCTTCCCTCCTCCTCCTCTCTTCTTCTTCCCTCCGTCTCTGCTCTTCTTCTTCTTCTTCTTCTCTTCTCCGGCGGGCAGCTTCTTCTTCTCGCCTTCTAAACACATCTTCATCAGAGGGTGGCTGTTGTCTTACTTGTAGCTCTTCTGATGCTTTTCTCGCGGCACCCTGCTATGACAGATCAAATCAATCCCAGTCAAATCACATTACCAGAGCTACAAGTTTTGGGTACGGGTAGCTAACACAAAACAAAAATAACAATGCAAGAGGAGAGAAAACTCCGTCGATCATAAAAAATTGAGTTAAAGTTTGCACTTAAATCACTTCTTAACAAAGCATAATGTGATGGCCGGCTGGGTTCTTGCTACATTGTAATTTATTTTCCATGAAAGATTATTTCATGCACTTTGCAAACAAATAGTTTCATTAGCAGAAGGCATCACGGTATTGTTATTGGCTCTATTGACGTTGCCATAAATCTTTCAAACTGCTCAACAGCCTCCTCAAACTTCTGTGATTTTAGCATAGGAAGAATCCAGGGTAGAACTGAAAAAGATTGTTTCCTCAATAAGGCTGGATATTGGCCTAATCGTTTTTTGTGCATTCTTTTTGTTTATCCATCACCTCACATGTAAACACTGGATAAGAATATAAAACAAACCTGTCGTCCTCTAAAGCGACTCTCATACAAGCTTGAGGCACTAGGAGGCTGATACTTTTCTTCCATTTGAACTGTCATTCCGACAGGTGCCCTCCTGTTATCAATGTAAGTGGAACTTGGTGAGGACGTCATGGCCATTGGTGCTATGGAGACTTGTGGCTCCTGAAATCTTCTCTCTTCTCCCACGTTTGCTACAGAAAAATTTAAAATGGGTGTATTGAGTGACTTGGCAACACATCTAACTTAAATAATGAATATATGAAAATCGTACATAAAATAGAAACTGCAACGTGGATAATTAAAAGAAAAAAGATCATCGCAGTAATAGACGCAACTTTTCCAGTTGCGAAAAGAAAGCCTGAAAAAAAAATTCAGGCTAATTGTACTGGAATCTAACCCTTGAACTCTGCGATACTGGTGTAGCACTCTACCAATTGAGCTAACAAGCCAGCTGGGAGCAGGTAATTCGTTATAAACTCATGAAAGGGTGACAATAAAATATTGAATATATGAAAATCACATACAGGAACTGCGGGGTTAAGAATTAAATGAAAAAAATATCATAGCAATTACAGATGCAACTTTTACAGTTGTAAAAAGGAACCCTAAAATACAGGCTTGTACGAAACCTTGACTTAAATAATTCTGGGGAATTCATCTAAGCAAGACATGAAACAATACTTCATAGCTTTTGGTTCGTGATGTAATTATTATGTATTCATTTTCTCTTTATCTTATTTTTCTTCTCAAGTCAGAACTGTATTGAATTTGTAAAGCACTATGAACTGTAAATAAACTCTAAATGAATGCAAATAATTTATAATTTTTTTAAGAAGGAAAGTAGATATATTTTATAATTAACTAAAAATTAAACCTAAAGAAAGAGAAAGTTTACCATATGATGGTCTCTTTTGAACCATGTAAGACTCAGGTTCTTCAATCTTCTGCACAGGGACCTCAACACCTCTCTGCATGTCTTTATACCATGCTGGCACATGACTAGCACTCACACGTGATGGTCTTTTCTCACTTGTCTGCTGCTTCTGCCATGAGGGTAACTTTCTATCATCATCAGAGCTAGACCAGGATGCTCTTGGCTCTGATGATAGTGAACCTGTATTTCTGACAGGTACATCATTAACATAGTCTGTCCTGTTGGTAAACACCTCATTGTCACCACGATGATCAGGGGAAGGTGATGCACTTCTTGGAGATATAGAACCAGTGCTCTCATGGTTTCTAACAGTTCCCTTGGCTACATCACTGGCAAGTAATCCAGACAGGTTTGATGAAGCTAAGAAGGAAAAGTAATTGTAGGAAAATTACAGAGGCCACTTGGAATGCTACAGGTTCAAACCCAGCTCGACCAACAATCAGGGTCTTTAAATATATGAGGGGAAAGTAACGCCTTTGTAACATCAAGTCATCTACAAATGGTTAGACTTTCTAGTCTTCTCAGAAAATAAAGAGCAAAAAACCGGAGGACCTGTCTTGCAGCCCTGGTTCATATAAAATCCTGTGTGATGTTGAAGTGCTCACACTATTTTCCTAATGTGTATGGTGGTCTATCTCAACTTCACTTTCACATCCGGCGACATTATTTCATAAATCAGTACATCAAATAATTAATAATGTAAACTGCACCAAATCTAATCCGGTTGAAGTCCCCCAATCAGTGCTGTAAATTATCGATGAAAAGCCCTGAGGGGAATTGTGGATAATATTATATTTACAATTCACAACAGCTGAGAGAAAGGTTCTTCTCAACGTTGTTAGTATAATACGTTGTCAACCTGTTTCTACATACTTCCTGCACTTGAATGTAATTCCTTGAACATTTCTTTGTACCATTTTCCTCCTCTCTGAATAGACTGAAATTAACAAATAAAGCATGTCATGCTTTCTCATGCTAAGATATTAGTAACACCTTCATTTCATTTACCATTTGTAACTATTGTCATTGAAAAGAATTGAAAAAAAACGTTGAAGCTACAACATAACTCTTTAACAGAAAGCATATCCCTTGTATCATTAAGAAGATGGTGCAATTTATTTTCCTAGCGATCTGTTTCTTTAAAAAATCTGATTCTGTCCTTTTTAGGACAACAGTTGGCTCTCAAGTTAAACAACATGAGGCGTACAAGGAATCTTTAGTGAGACTGGCTTGCATAACATGCATTATATTCAGCCAAGCACAATGCTTCTTCCTTCCCCCCTGCATTAACTACAGTGTAATGTGTTTTCTGCAGGCTTTAGTTAGAAAACAGGAATTTCGTAAACCTCAGAGATCAATTTTTGTGATATTTACACGCTTGTGTTGAGCTAACACACATTTCAACTTCTTGTCATTTCCACTGTCAAGCGTAATGATCCTATCAGTTTTTCTTCCTTTGCCTTCATCCTTCGTTAAGCTTCTTTGGAATCAAAGCAAACTGAAAGAAGTGTTCAAGTGTGTATTTCAAACTGGCATTGAACCACAATTTAAAATCATGGAGCAACTATGATAAGCCCATGAATTAGAAGTAAAACAATTCTCTATCCTGTACACTTAATCTGTTGGTGATTTTTATTTCTTTTTTTATCCACTGTTAACCTGCTGTGAATATAACATCACCAAAAGGCATTAACTCACAGGACGATGAGGCCCTGGAGGATTTGGTTCTGAAGTCCTGGGCTCCTCGCTGTATTTTCTGGGTTTGTTTTGAGCAGGAGGTAGCACTGTTCTGATTGGTTTTGGTTCCTTTGAAGCTAAAAAAAAACATGATAGTTTCTATCTTTATTTTTAATAATATAATACTTTTTGATTCATTATAAACTTACCATTGTTTTATCAGATAATAAAATGTTACAAAATGGACACCTTGTGGCTGGTTTTGTATGACTACATGACTTCTATTCAGATATAATATACCATAAGTTGATGCCCAGTTCACAGTTAGGGCTGAGCATTCATTGAAGCTGATCAGAACAGTACTTGTCTATCAACAATGATTATAACATAGCTAGAAAATTTGCCTAATCAAATTCAATAGCACGAGCGTGCTTCATATTCCTATTGAGCACGCTGATGACGTCAATAAACTATTCATAATTCCTGGAGTTGTTGTGAGCTTAGCAATCCTGAGTCTCCTGAGTGCATCCATAACTCAGCAGTACACAATGAAGCGTTTACCATGTGTTTTATAAGAGGAAAAAAATATAGTCACGTAAACATTGACACGTACTGCTTTGAGCGTGCCCTACAATAATAAAATTTTAAGTTAACTGCTGTATTGATCACTTTGATAATGTTATAAAACAATTACCTCATGCTTCAGCAGTGCGTATGTCAAGATATTGAGTACTTGGGAAGTTTGGAGAGCACTCAAAAGGCTAGAGTTGCTCTCGGCTGTGCCTCGAGCTACTCTTACTCCTCTTTCGTGCTCTCCACACTTCCCGCGTGCTCAGTATCAAGACATACGCACGCTGATGCATGAACTAATTGTTAAATAAAATGGTATACAAAATATTCCATATTCATAATAAAAAATAAAAATATAATAATAATAATAACAATAATAATATTATATCATCAATATTACAAATACATAATCTGAGATTTTCCCAATGAACAATGAAGGTAGGGCTGTCAACCCCCTATGTCTTCAAATATTGAGAATTGATAGGGAAGGGATGATACCACATGGTACATACCACATGGCACATGACATCATTTGTGCAAAAAATACTTGTTGACTCTAATTGTCACGAATATTTGCAATGACACAAAATGTGCGGAAAAGATGTTGTTGGCATTGTAACATTTGACCTGATTGGTTTACTTCCCACCAATCACATTATTGCTTATATTACAATGGCATACCAGAGTTTATGAGGAAATGTTCGATGTGAACAGTAAAATACCTCAAACATCACAAATTATTTGAATTTTCATTGTTGGAAACTCAAGTCTACAAGAAATACCAAACTTCGGCCACTATCCGGGAAATTTATTTCAGATTCTAATCTGGAGACTGGGAGATACAGTCCAAAATCTGGAGTCTCCCGGATTATCCAGGAGAGTTGACAGGACAGAACTGGAAGGCCAGCAGGGTTTTCAATAAGATTTTAAGTAGGTGGCAAAAACTTTGCAGTAAGCGGGGAAGGAAAAAACTCGCAGTAAAAAAACCAGTTGAGAGCACCAAAGGCGCGAGTTTCTGGAAAAATTTGAAATCTAGCTGAGCCTCTTAGAATGCATTTCCAGCGTTCTGGAGCAAAAATTAGAGTGTTTGAACAAACACAGACATCTTTAAATTTTGGCTTTTTTTATTCAGTAATAGCATGTGAATACTCTATTTAAACTGGGGTGGAAAAGTAGGCAGCGAGTTCATGTGAAATAGCCAGCAAATTTTGCCAGCTACTGGCTCTTATTGAAAACTTTGGGCCTGTAGTGAAGGGATATTGAAGCCTGGAAGATGTGACATCCAGAACATGTATTTGTGTTTCATTCTTTCCAAATCTGGTTTAACTCTTAGATCTTATGGTCAGTTGCAAAGATATTAACTAACTTAAAAGATGCTTGGCAGTGACTTTCAGTAAATTCCATTAATTAGTTACCTTCAATTGCAGCCTGTTCCTTTTGTTTTTTAAACTGCTGCAAAGCAGGTCTGTTAGTTGTGGATGGTGCAGAGTCTGAGCTACTTGCATCACCATTTGCCATGTTAAAGTCTTCCTCAGAACCAATGGAACCAGATGTCAACCTTGAATAAGTAAGAGAATGGAATGTTTTGCAAGAGAGATGTCTGTGTTATAGCGTCAAGACTCCTGACCATATTTCGGACAGATCGATTTAGGTCATCAGTATGGAATTTTGGAGACCAAAACTTGTCTGTCTTGCAAAATTTTCCCAATCATGGGAAGCAAAGAGTAGTGGTTCCATTTGCAAGCTACATCTTTCAACAAGTTTTACAGAGCAAAAAAACTAAAAAAACTAGATTATTCAACTAGTTACCGTATTTATTTGATTAACGGCGTAAGGCGCTTATTAAATTCTTGGACCTTGAGGGTAGGCGTTTACGCGAGGTGGGTGCTTATTCGAGGCTGGGCACTTATTAAAATTTCAGCAAGTGTAGTATGTTTATTTTGCCGCAAAACAATAAATGGTAATAACAAAATGCAAAGACGTAACAAAGCAAGGTTTCTGTCACATCAGAAGAAAACTCCGTCTTTAAGAAGTCTCTTATTAGTAGTTATTCAATTTTTTGGGGGGTGGGAGCGGGAAGGGGGTGGAGTGAGGGTGGGCGCTTATTTGAGTTTGAGTGAGAGGAGGAGGGGGTGGACGCTTATTAACTTTTTCTGCCTTTAGGATGGGCGCTTATTCGAGGTGGGCGCTAATTTGAGGTTGGGAGCTTATTCAAATAAATATGGTACTCTCTTTTCAGTAAGCATCTTGAGAAAATAATAGTTTTTAGTATTGGCCAACTAAAAAGTGACATTGGATTAAGCAAAAACCACCATACAATCAATAGCCACCCAAGATTTGTCAGCCATAGAGTGAGAGACATTTCCCTTTCAGGGGTTTCCTCCTTGAAATAAAATGTCACTACATAACAAGTCCACTTGTATGTGACCCATATATCCCATATAAAAAGAATGCAAAATTAAATTTTAAAAAATATATTTTTAAAGTAATAAGTTGCATACTCTTAAAAATAATTTTACAGTATATGGAGACCTCTGTCACATATTTAATGAAAGGGCATCTGAGAAAGCGCACAGTTACAGTGTATATTCAAATTTTATAGTAACCATTACAGACAAACATGAAAAAATTATTCTCTTCAATGTTTACACCTTTTCAGAGTGAGTTAACTGTTTGCCTGAAACTATATTCAAATAGTTATTTATTAATAAGCCTTTCGCATAAGTTGATCATGTGATCAACTTTCGGTAAACACGAAAACAGTTTGCTTTTGAAAAATTTTGTTAGCAGGAGCTGAAAAATCATGTTAAAATTAGGTAACCTGCAAATTTTCAGCTGTATATCTCAAAAGTAGCAATTGCAATGGCCGCCAAAAATTTACGGGATTTGCATGAGAAAAACAACTTTTGCCACCCAATCACACTTGGGTGGTTTGCCATGCAAATCCTTGTAAATTTAAAAATTTTCAAACTGTTGTGAAATATTCCCTTAAGATTACAGGGCTCAAATCTCCTTTTTAATTCATAAACATTTCAGAATTTACAAGGAGTTGTATGGAAAACCACTCAAGCGTGACTGGGTGGCAAGAGTTATTTTTCTCATACAGATCCTTCTAATTTTCAGCATCAGTTGCAATTGTTTCTTTTGAGATATACCGCTTGAAAAATCACAGGTTACCTAATTTTAATAATTGCTCTTTCATCTTGTGCTAACAAAATTTTTCAAAAGTAAACTGTTTTTGTGTTTACTGAAAGTTGATAATTTATGTGATCAACTAATGCAAAAGGCCTGTTGTTTTTCAATTGATTTATTTAGTTTATCAGTTTTTTTTCTTACTTGAAAAGAAATATTAAGTACTTCAGGTCCATGTTTAATAATGGAAAGGTCATCAATGTGTTTGGCCACTGTTACTCCAGTAAATTAACAAAATTTAATGAAATAACACCTTTGAAAAGTACTTCTGACCTTGAGTTAATTTTTTTTAAAGATCCCTGTATAGAGAACTTTCCAAGCACTAAAGAGAACTATAGTATGAGTTATGATGCCAAATATAAGGCTGAACTCAGGAATGACAAGTAAGTACATGAACTGTGGTAACTTATAAAAGAGATTTGTAGAGTATGACCAATGACAACAAAGAATAAGAACAGGTTATTAGTAGTTAGGGATGGTAAGTACATGTACATAATTGTATCTCAGAGGAGAGATGATCTGAGGTTCAAATAATATGATTAAAAAAAATACTACAGTACATGTACAGTAGAGTGAGTTGCAGTGTTACATTAAAATCAAAATGGTAAGTTATCAGACAAATACTAACTGTAGATTAGTTCCAGGTGTTTGAAAACTTGTGTCATCAAATCTATGAGATTATAAATCAGAACATGACATGAATATGATGATCCTTAAAAAGTAAGGAACATGTTTCCATCACTTAACATATTTTTATTTTAATGTTAAAAAAAATGAATTAAGACAAAATTCACTGACTTAAAATTATTTTAAATAGATTTTCCAGAAAACTATCACTGAAACATTAAAAGGCAGCTTGGGCATTAAATATAATGTTATTAATTATTGCAACCATTTTGCTTTGTTAGGATTTATAAAAAGGCTGCTGGCACATAATTATTGTTATCCTATTGTTTACATTTCAGTAGCAGAAGAATTTAGAATTTGAGTATGGTGTATCTTCAGTTGCTTACCCCCACAGGCAACTTGAAACTTTCACTAGGCCCCAATCTATGACCTTTTAGACACTAGCAAATCGGCTGTGTTTTATCAATCACAGGACTGAAGTAAAAGTAACAAACTGAAGATGACAAATAAACGTGGCACTGTGAAGCTTTTTACTTTTTCTTTTGAAATAGATGCTCCCAACATTATAAGCTGTGCTCCTAAAAATTTTCAGCTGTGCGCCTAAAATTTCGGCAGTACGCCTAAAAATTTACATCTGGTAGCACAAGTACTCCCAAACTCAAATTTAAACTTTGAGCCCAGTGAATGTGATTTGAATTTATAAAGCCTGGTGAATATATAATAAGATATTATTTTCTTTAGTCAGTGAGTCAGTATTAAACACAGGCAAGAATAGTGGTTTGGGCAACTATGGCAATTTACTAAAAAAAACAAGTAGGAGTATTGACTCAAAAAGTGCCAAGTACAATTCAACAAACATTTGCAAAATGAGTTTTACTGGTTTACACCGGGAGTGACACCCAGAGTGTAGGGTAGGGTCACATATAATGCTAGACTTGCCAATGTTCAATGCCACATACTTTGTACAGTTTTTTTGCCTTTAATAAATGTACAGTAAGGTAAAGAAAGAGTTGGTTACCTTCTTCCACCACGTCCAATAGGGCGGGGTTTATCAACAAATCCCCTTGTATCTGCAGGTGCCCTCACTTGAGATATAGGCTCTACAGGTAGGCAAACACATTTTTGGCTTAATATTGCAAAAAATGACTGACTGACTTATCTAGATGAGCCAATGTTACAGATTAGTCTTTTGCGTTTTTTTTTACTGCAAATATTGATGAAAGTGAAGTTCAAGGTTTTTTGACTACATTATAATAATAATGTGATAATTTATGTTAAATCCTTATGATATACAACACATGCTCTGAGTGAATGTAACCATGCTAAGATGATATTACATACTTTTGGAATTGAACCACCACTCTACAAACTTGAAAAATGATCTACGTACACGTGCATGTCATACCTTTAACACCAATCTTTAACTTATGGAAGCAAAAACTTAGAATATACCTGACGTCGATGAAGAACTTGATACAGATCTGAGAGCTTCCATGCCATGCACTAATTTGATTTGCTCTGGAGGCCTAACCACCCCTGATATAATATCAGGATTCCATTCATTGGAGTTAGATAGATCATCTAAAAAAATTACAGAGCACAGAGATGATTTGTGACTGGGAATGGACACAAGTAATGAAGAAATTTCTTTTGCTTGATTACAAGCATATCCAAAGCAAAACCATGAACATGAACCATAATACTTCAATAATACTTCAAAGTAAAATAGGGTGGCTACAGGTGACTAAAAAAATCATGCCTTAAAGTACAACGAAAGACCACATGTCAGGAGAAAAATGCTAAGTGATGAGTGCAGAGAGCAGGACTATATTGTGGCCACTAATATTGCAAAGTTTATAAAAAAAAAAATTCGCCCTTTGCCAACTTCCTGAGAGGTGAAAATAGCAAGAGTGATGTTTCTGCTCCAAGGATGTTCAGCAAAACAAAATAAAAGATTGTCAGCTTTAACTTCATCCCACTGAACATGGTATCCCTTGTGTTGGAAACAATTCAGGGTTCGTACTCTTTTCAGTTCTTCAAATTCAGTGACTTTCCATGACCTCTTCCATGACCATAGGTTTAGCCACCACATTGAAAATTTCTAAAAGTTTTCTGAACCCTGAATATTCATTTATCCCATCAACTGTTGATATGTGGGACCTCGTGTGGGCTGAAAAGCAAGTCTGCTGTTTGATTTTTCATTCCACACAGCTTCAAAATGCTCACAGAAATTATATATGAAGTCATGCCTGTGGCAGATTAAAAAATATTTACTTACTTACTGTACTTTATCCATTTCTAAATCTTAGCTACAAATTCAACAAATTTGTACACAACCCTCAATTAGCAAAGCCGCTAATCGAGGCAGGTTGAGTAAAGAGAATTAATTAGATTATTAAATTTTAAAAGTTACCAGAAAACCTAGAACAAAAAACTGCAATAATAGGAAAGTAGAGCACAATCAATGATACACAACAGGGGAATAGTGGGTAAATAAAGTCTGCGTGTTTAGAGGAGAAAAGGACATAAATAATTTATAACTTAAGACTGACTAGAATGCATCAAAAAAAATAAAATGAATGTAGGGGCATTAAACACTTAAGATTGCTAATTTGGTGGTAACTGTATTTATCAAAATATACAAACCTTTTCTAGAATTGAAAGCATTATTGTTATTTTCTTCAATGTTTCTCCATCTGTTAGCATCCACATCTCTTTTCTCCTGGCCTCTTGGCATTGTAACATATGATAATGTGTCATTTGAAGAGGATGGTTTGAATGTAGCTTTGGAAACATGTGTAGATGCAGATCCATTTCTTAAGTCATCTGTTGTATATGATGAAGATTGTGTAAAAAAACTGCCATCGCTTGAAACAAAATCTGGCGTGGAAACAGGCCTTCTAAAAAATTTAGGAGAACATAACAAAGAGAAATAACTCAGATATCAAAGTGAAAACTTGCAAGAGAAAATCACAACCATGTTGTGCTGCTGGTACCTCAATGAACATGTTATTTCAGCAGGCAATCAGAATCTTTAAGATACATGCTGCATATCTTATTTTTCTCTTTTCATTGCCCTTCACTTGACCTACATTGTATACAGGTCATGTATGGTTAAAATTAATAAATTGATGGCCGAAATATGTGATACACCCAATGCAAAAATTCAAACATGAATTCTGAAGCCAAACATGCATATCACTAGCGGCTACATAACACCTTCAAGGTGGGTTCTTATTGCAAACTAGACAAATTGCGAGAATTAGGTCAATAAGATATGATAAACACTACATGCATCTGATGGAGATGTGTCAGGGAGAGTCTGTAAAGGTACTCTGTTTGATATACACTCATCAATGTCTTTTTGTTTATCTAATTAGAGAAGAACAGGTGGAAAAAAACAGAAGAGTTCTACGCAATAACATGTCTCAACTAGCACTTGTGTTAAAGCTAAAAGTGATAACCTTATTACAACATTTTTACTGTGTATGTATTCAACATATTAATTGACAAAACATAGAACTTGAAGGTGATACATGGCAAAACTCAATAATATTGCAGAAATATAACATTTATAATGGACAAGACATTGGGATCAAATCCATACAAACACCTGCAAACTTTGGCATTGAGCATGTAATTTTTTCATTATTACAATATTATTACTATAATATACACAAACAACAGTTGGTATGTATTTACAAATTAACATTTTAAGCATGACCAAGATGGGGCTGAAGGAAATAAAAAGCTCCTTATCCCACTAAGTCTACAAAACAAATTCTACAGATATGTTTTTTAATAATCAGAAAAGACTAGATATTCTCCAATGATTTAAGTGGTAAAAATAAATTTCCCTACATTGAACTCCAAAATTGATTGAACAATAATTCTTTGGTCAGCATCTAGCTATTTATTAATATACACACAGAAAAAACAGTCAATACAATATATTTAAAAAATAAAAGAAAAAAGTACCATTTCATTTGGTATCTGATCTATTGTATCTATGCAAGCAGTTCATTTCCTGATTTAATCTTGAAACAGACACATTCAGTAAAGTATTAACAGACTATAAAAATAATGAATGCAAATTAGCATGAAAATTCACTTTCAAAATAGTCAGCTTTGGGTGTAAATAAATCAAAATCCCCTAGTCTATAACAGAAAATGTTCCCTTCTATAGCACACAAATAACGAAAACCACGCAAGACGTTATAAAGGGACAACTGCAGTATTATGATGTATCTCTAAACATAATGATCCTCTTTCAATGCAAGCAAAAAAGATGAACATGTAAGATGAATGTCTTGTACAATAAATGTAGCAATTATTGCCAAACAGTCACTCTTCAATAATACTGGGATCATAGAAGACAAAAGTTAATGAAAGAGTGAGATTTCTACTGGTAAAGGAGAAAGGATAAACACAAGCTACACATTGACAAATCAAAATGATTATTATTCAACCATAAAAATTAATTATTGGTATATTATTAGTATACCTTTTAAAACTAAAGGTTGCTTTGGAAACAAATCTTCTTCCACTAGCCATGATCTTTCACAAACAGTTTCTTTCTGGTTAAAGATTCACTTAACAAACATGGACAGATAGCTACTTGTAGCATTTGCACAGCATAGTTCAACCCAGCTTGTAATTTAATCCCTTTTTCTCTCTCAATAACAAACTAAATGAACCACATGCCATAAAAGGTAAGAGAGCAATTAATAATCAATTAACATATCCAATGAAAGACAGGGTCATTAGGACACTTTGCACTTGCGTAACAAAAAAATAACCTTTTCATTCTTTGGAGATTATGGAGCAAAATGTTAAAAATTGAAGAAGAATTTAACACACTTTTGTCTGCCTTCACTGTGTTTTAGGAGAGCTTTACAAATTGTAATGGTGGCAAATTGAATTAAGAATGTGCAATTCCTCAGTATAAAGTATTTTCACAGTAGCTAAAGCAAGTCGTTGAACTTTTCATTTTTTTCAAAATCTGGTTAAGAGCTTTGATGGATTAAAAGTGTTATGTGTGATTACTTATACCTGAAGTGGATAAAAGGCTATGAGGCAAATCAGGTCACAATAACAGCAAAATTGACCAAAATATACAACAGTCTGTAACATAGCCCCCAGCCACCCCATGCTGTTGAATAAAAAAACTAACAAAATTATAGGAATATATAATAATATATAATAAGTCCATTTTTTTAACTCACCTACAAAGAATCATTTTTAGCTTGGATCCTGTCTTTTTAATACTATTAAGAGCATCACTGTGTGTCCAATCTTCACAGTCTGCGTTGTTGATGGATTTGACCAACAATCCCTCAGCAATTCCTGCCATTTCAGCTTTGCTATTTGGTGTTACCTAAAATGACAATTTAACAAAATAATTAGTGATATATACATATATGTAGCAAAGATACTAGTCATTTCTCAAATTACATCTCTGGGTCCACTTACATTTGTACATTTTCCAGTAGGACATGGTGTGATATTCAAAACAAGAAAGAAAACCTATTGCAATTAATACTATTTTTTCAAATTTTATCCTTGGTTTATTTCTTTTTTTCTTTTACAAAATAACTATCATACAAAACCTTACCCAAAGAAAAAGGAAAATAAAATTTCAAAAAAGGATAAAATTGAACTACAACTGATATTCAGCCAGCAGTATCTTACACCAGACCTTTAAGTTTGTGCAGTCTGCAGCTTATCATTAAAAGCATTCTGTTTCCATTAATTGACTATCTGGGGGTGGGGGGGTGGAGAAGACATGATACATGTTCAAAAGGGGGCACCTAATGGGGCTTATTAGAGACATCATTATAGTAGCTGGCCAGCATGGACCCAATTTTAAAGATACTTTGTGGTTTCAGTTTTGCAGTTGGTTGAAATATCATTTCAAATACGTTTTATTGAAACAATAAAACGAAAAATAAAAGACATCAGTTTGTTAAAAATAAAAATAGTTTGAAATTTTAAAGCTAAAACAAATTAACCCCCATACCAATAAACTTTCCCAGATGAGACTACTGGATAAACAATTGTGCAGACAGTAATGTACCACAAACCAGACAAAATATGGGGTTATAAAGAAGCACTGGACAGGCACATTTTTTCATGGAGACAGAAAAATTCACTCTGTACTTGTAATCAAGTACTGTAGTGAAAATAAAGGAATTATGTCAGATTTTGACAAAAAATTATAAATATAAATATTTTATTTGCTTCGCATGATAATTCATGCACAGGAAGTGGAATTTTTTCGTAGCTAAGTCTTGTAACTTTAATCTGCCATGCTTGATCTACTTATCTATGAAAATTTGAAACACAATTTTATACGTACATTATAGTTCAAAAGATACAAATGCTGGTAAAAGGAGAGCAAACACTTCAAAATAAAACTGGATCTAGTCTAATTTTGGCAACGACACAACTAAGTTTAAGTGGCTAAAATCCAGAGAACAACAGGCATAACTGTCACAATCAAAAAACTTTTGATAGTCTACATGAGAATTGATTATTATTTTTACACTTCTAGCCGAAAAATGAATTTTTGTCTGAATTTTTATACATTTGCCATGACAAAATAATTTGGCATTCATCTGGAATTTTATCAGCTGAATCAGTACTTCATTCAACAACAAATCGCATTAAAATATATAAGCTAAGAACCTCTATCCAACAAAATTTAGTAGGGGCCCGTTCGTTTACAAGACATCATTAATTCATAAAATTAAAACAGAGTATGTATCAAGATTTACAAATAATCAAGCGCGCATATTCTACTGAAGAATGCCACTTTTCCCAATCCAGTTTTACAGTAAGTATGATATACTGAAGAAAATACCTGTACCGAGTAATTGATATTATTAATATAATTTACGGATCACCAAATTCTATTTAACCACAAGTGTTAATTTCATGAAACCAACACGAAAATCGTTCTGCCGCAAAAGAAAAAATTACAACGTGGCAGGAGATTTCTGCAATTCAAAGGAAAGTGAATAAGGTTCTGTTAGAATTGAGTTCCACAGTATTATTCCTATATTCAGCTTAAAACACTTCGTCGCTTCAATAACTTGGCAGAGGTTCGTAACGAACCGTGCGCTTAACATTCGAACGAATTATATTGAAATAAAAACTTGGGAAAACTAACTAACCTAATAAATATAGACAACAAAGGAAAGAAACTACTAATTCCTAGATAAAAATTAATTCATTAGGAAACAGAGTGGTAGAAATAAATTTGTTGAAGTAGATACAAATCCTTACAACCGGTCACTGAAGTCTTATCGGCGACCTATCAAATATCGTTCCTACAAAATTTTAAAATTCAGAAATTGGCGTTAGTTTATACTGTTCGTGAGATTTCAATGCAGCGAGACTCGAACGAGATTAAATCTGTAAAATCAATTTAACGGTTTAGTGAAGACTTAAAAGAAAATATATTATTGCAGTTTGGAAGAGCAATCGCGAAAATATAGTACTGTGTAGAGTGAACAGAGAGTTAGCGGGTTCCCAGTTTGTTTTGCTGTCACGGAGCATTTCAGCCTCCGAGGCATTTGCTCTCTTACGGACATGACATTTAAATTTCATGGTCATTTCATGACAACCAACCTTTGCAATTCTTAAAGGTGCTCTGAACTCCCTGCCACCTTGCAATCTAAAGCCCCAAGGAGCTCCGCCGCTTAATACAACTTCGTAAACCTCTGAAGACGCCATGATTACCGTGAGTAGCAACACTAATTACCCATCATCCTGTTCTTACTCGCTTGACGAGGGTCAAGAGCCGCCTTTCCATATAAGGAAAGCCAGCCGCGGCAATAATTATTCGAGTCATAATTGTTCTGTTTTTTGACGGGAAGTCACGCAACGGCTACGGACTATTAGTAAAATACAACTAATGGACTACTACTAGGCTATATGTTATAACCCCCTAGTAGCGAAAAGCGCTGGCTTTTTGGCGGCAAAAAAGGATTAAAGTCTAGCTCTAACTAGCTAATTTTTTTTTATCTTCGCTATTTTGGACCAACTAGTTGGATTTTACTAAAACAATTATTCCTCTTGCCCTCATGGCCTGTGAGTCAATAGTCAATATTAACTCAGAGCCCATTCGGGCTCGAGGAATAATTGTTAAGTGAACTGCAGTTGTTCAGCGTGCCATTCAGTGCCAGTAGACTAGTTCTACCGGCAGTTCTACCACCGTTTGACAGTGGGACTCATGGTCTCACTGCAGGTCAGTTAAGATAAAGCCTTATGTAAGGCACTCTAACTTTAACAAGAGATCATGCTCTTTTTCGTATAGTGGTAAGTACAGAGGGAGTCAGCAAGAGCTGCTAAAATCTAATGGGTTGCCTTTGGGTGATCTCTGGGTGATCTCAGGTTAATTAACTTCGAAGAGCAAATCATTATTCATTGATCCTGCATAGCAAGATTCGAGCTTTTTGGCTCTCGCAGCTTTTTCCAGGGGCACGCAACGTCAATTTTCGAAAAATATCTGTTCGGAAGACGATTTAAGATCTAGAATTTTCGGAACATTTGTTGTAAAATTTCTTGCTTGTCTGTCTTTCCTAGGATTTTCGAACGTCTACAAAATGGTATTATTGCCCATTTTTAACGGATTTTTAACCTAAAAAGGTCACCTAGAATTTTCGGGAGCCTTTTTTCTGGCTGAAATTTTCGAAAAGGTAAGTTTTGATCGCTATAATTTTCGGATCACTAGACTTTCAGCTAGGAAATCCGAACAGATGAAAAATTTTTAGGGGATAAAAATATGCCTACATCTACCTTTTAAATACTAAAATACTTTAACAATGCTGTGTTTAAGTGGTTTTGAACTATGTTCTCGTTGGGTGCCCCTGTTTCTCGACGAAGTCGGGGGGAAACGCTTCCTTCGCACACTCCGGGGGGATACTGTAGCGACCTTGAGTTCGTGTCCTCATGCGAGAGTCCGTAATAGCGGGAGTTTACTGTAAAATATGTTTGTCCGGGACTTAGTTGCTGTCCGTATTCAGGGGCACCCAACGGCAATTTTCGGAAAAATATCTGTTCGGAAGACGATTTGAGAACTAGAATTTTCGGAATATTTGTTGTAAAATTTCTTGCTTACCTGTCTCTCCTAGGATTTTCGAACATCTACAAAATGCTATAATTACCCATTTTAAACGGATATTTACCCTAAAAAAGGCCACCTAAAATTTTCTGGAGCCTTTTCCCGGCACTTTAAAAGCTTTTCCATTCAAAACTAGGGATATTAAAAGAGATCACTAGACTTTCAGCTAGGAAATCCGAACAGATGAAAAGTTTTTAGGGGATAAAAATGTGCCTATATCTACCGTTTAAATACTAAAGTACGTTCAACAATGCTATGTTAAGTGGTTTTAAACTATATCCTCGTTGGGTGCCCCTGTTAAATCTAGACTGTTCACAGTCCCCTTTTTTTTCGTGAGATCGTTCAGATATACCGCGTCTTACCGTCACGGGTATCTTGATTTTCAAATGTACCGAGGGGGCGGGCGTCAGGGATTATAGCTCTGACCGCGGGAAAGGGGAATAGGACTAGTATGTACGCGGAGATTTTCGTTTCATGAATTTTACAACTTTTTGCGATTTAATTTTGTAATTTTTATTTTTTTGCAAGACTTTTTTTCTACCTACAACATTAACCCACACCCACACCCACGACCTCTACTCACTACCCACGACATTTAGCTACACTCGTCGCCAAATGTCGGCTGTTTTCTCAGGCTCAGGCTTTCTCATAAGTGCAATATACGAGAAAATCCGCTGGAGCTGTGAACTTTCATCCTTCAGTTTCCCTTTACGATACATTTCAATAATTCAATGAAAGTTCAATACTGAAATATCGAAGCTCCTTCATACAAAAGTTTAATAGAAACTCCCATCAATAGTGTTTACATCATCAGTAAAAAACTAAAAGCAAGTAAAGAAGTGTTTATGTACTACACGCAAGATAAAAATTAACCACGAAAAACAGTCACAGGAAAAATCCTTACCAACTTACACAAGTCTCCCCCACCCCCACTTTCCTCGAGAGCTTACATGCAGGCTAAATGTAGAAACAAGAATTCAAAGTAGATTTTAAATTTACAGTTCTTAACCCTTTTAGCCAATTTTCTTCTAAAAAATGGGTTATGACAATAAAATGATTATCTAAGGAAAAATGCTTTGATTATCCATATTGATTGTCTAATCCTTTTAGGAAATGTATATAGATCAGTCTGGAGAATTTATTTGTGGATATTGAGGCATGGAGTATTATCATATGAATTTCATACCAAAATTGTATCGGGCTTTTCTCAACACCAACGAGCCTTTAAGATCAATAGGTAGAGTGATCTCTTACTGGCTGCTGGCAGAGAAGTTACCTGCTTGAATATTGAGAAACGAAAAAGAAACATGTACGCAAAATACCATAATTTAACAGAAGCAGTATTTGGCTGCTCACTGACTCGGATCTTTTTCGGCGAGAAAAGTGATGCAGTTTATTTTTCTGAAAGATAGTTGAGTAGTGAAACAGGCGAGTGGGCGAAACTAGCTTCCCGCGTGAGAACGCGACGCGAATGAGCGGTGATTTCTAAACTTTCGCGTGTTTAGGCTGTTCTACCTAGCAATAGCCTGCCCCTAGGTTTTAGTCACACGTTCGGCAGTTGCAGCCTAGCTGCGAGCAAGTTCTCGTGTTGGGTTTCGCGAAAGGATTTACTCACCGTCGCACCGGCTGGTCTCGCAACGAGCCACTCAAGTTAGATCCTCGCGGCTTCTAGAGTTCACCAGTACCACAGGCTACTGTTCCACTACCATTTGAAAAAATTAGGCCTAGACCAAGCGTCAAACTTTTCATGAGAAGAACAAAACTGAGCGAAACGTTCGTCTCAGTTAAGTTCGTCTGAATAAGTTTGGATCGACGAACACGTTCTATTCGTCTGATTAGTTCGATTCTTCATTAGTTCAACTTTCTGAACCAAAAGATGGACTTAACTGAGGTCGACCCAAATTACAATTTATTATACTACTACATGATAAATTTCTGCAATCTGATTGGCTTAGAGCAGTGGTATTTCAGCTTAATTTGAAAAACCTACATGTGAAAATTACAAACCTTTTGCGGGTAGTAGTACAAATAATAGCATGATTTGTACGTGATATTTGGCATAAATAGCACTCGTGATATTTCAAAATTGTCTCAAATTTCACTCGCCTAACGGTTCGTGAAATTACGTATAACAATTTCGAAATATCACTCGTGGTATTTATGCCAAATATCACTACAAATCATGCTATTACCTATACTAATATCATAGGTGACGAATTGCTCCTTAATTTTGGCACGAAATTTCAGCGATAATTTGTAATTTGATATGTGAAATTACAAAATTGCCATGGCAACCTTCCGTACGTCTCAGTGTCAAGATGGCGACGAAGTTTTAAAATGTCATGAATGAAGATGCCAGGGCATATAAAGACGCTTTAGAAAACCTGAACACACCAAAGAGCACATCAAGAAGGATTCTAACAGGTATTTTGTCGAAAAATTCCAAACTTCAGTCTAATTTAAGCTCTAAACGTTCGAGAGAGTGGAGTTCTCGATCGACATGATCCAGTATAAACATGTCAAAAATCCAAGATTGCTAACGTAATTCGTCACCCATGATATTAATAGGTAATCAAATGGTATACTCGTGAAATTAGGGAATAATTTCACTTGCGTTTTGTCCAAATCCTTATAATTTCCCTCCCTCACTTTAGGCGAGGGAAATTATTAGGATTTGGACAAAACGCGCGTGAAATTATTCCCTAATTTCACTCGTCACCATTTGATTACACATTACTTGGTGTTTTTTTTTTTTTTTCATGAAAAGTTGGACGTTTGGCCTTGGCCTTACGGACAACTATGGCCTACTATAGCGTTGAGTTATCACTCAACCTTTTTCACAGTAGCCCTTTCTTTAAGATAGGAATGATAATAAAAGTTAGAAAATAACCAGATCATGGTCATTTCATATATAATGCCATAATAACACCATCCGTGCTGCAGATAACCAACCACCATGTGACATAAGCCGATCATGAATTGTATGAGCTGTAGTTGTGTCAGATTCTTCTTCCAGGCTGGTCTTTGACCCGGGTTAAGGGCGGAATATCCATAGTAGTAGTAGAGAAATACATGAATGATGCCATTAAGTCCGAGTGGTACTGATATAGCAGGCCAGTTTCCGTATGTGCAGGCATACTCACTTAGCATCACCATGGAGGAGTGATGGTAAACCTACAAAGAGCACATACGACATCGGTCAGCAGAGACAACGAAAAAAAACAGGAAAACTAGTGAAAACGTAAAAAAAACTGACTTCACTTCGTTTGAAACTTTTTTGCAATATTCCAGCTCGTTCAGTTATTAAAAGATTGGGAAATGAAGTTTTCCTAGTTGGAGTTAAAAGAGAAGGGACCACGTACAAACTCAGATAGACAATCTACAGTCAGTTCATGTCGTTGTACAAGAACGGCGAGGAAATTCATATACAAGAATGCATGATGCACGTGCCCCTTGTGTCGTTGAACTGTAGCACTTGGAGGGTGTTCACATGTGCAAATCACCCCGGTGACATATGTATTGGACATGGCGGTACGCATCACCGTTGGGACTAGAATAAAAATGTAGATATTTCAAAATAAAGACTGAAATTACTTTATGGGTACGATAGCCCCAACGCACACTGACATTTTGCACCATGTAAACATTTTAAAACGAAAAAGATTTAACCAGTAATCAGGCTTGTTCCGAATATTTCTGACTACGAAAGCATTTTATGGATAACCTAGTTGCACTCTGGCGAGTCCCTAGCGAAACTTCACAAACAATGCTCTACACCACACACTAAAACAATTTTAAATGTAAACCTGCAATCGGCGATAAAATTAGTTGAGACACTTCGCCTTACAGGGGCTTTCTGATGTTTTAGTGACTTCCAAAGGGGAAAATAAAGCTTTTCCTCCCCCATCCCCTCCGTGCAATGTTGTGCCGCTGTTCGAACTATCTATAGAACTTGAACAACAAACACCGCAACTTTGAATGGAGGGGAGGGGGACGGATGTGGATTCTTTTGTTCTCAGTAGTTACCCTATTTGAGTACAATGTCTCAACAATTTTGTCGCCGAATGTGGGTTGAAAGTAAACGGTTTATTTGGAAGAGAAATCCATGGGCTTGGCAAAACGGAGGACATCTGATGTTACTTACATGGAGTAGGGAAATTTGTCGCTGTCTGTGTCTAAGTACCATAAACACAGTATCCAGAAGCTCAACGTACTTTGTCATGTAATATACCCAAAGAGCGTGCTTCACAAGCTCATCTTCTTCACAAACAAACAGCGAATGCGGCCAGTTTCTTGCAAGCGCCACAACAATAACAGCAACGGAGTAAAAACTGATCAGGCTGCATGCAAAGTTGTAAACCACAAGAACCTGCGTGAAAAAGGATGGCACATTTAATACAAGAACGCGTGTTAAAGAGTTCCCTTCGATTCCAGGAAAAAAAAAATCGAAAATAAGGGAAACAAACAAGGAAGCGAATAGAAAAACAAGTACAAAAGCAAAGAATGGCATGGGGTGTCCGGGGGCGTTCACGACAGCCTTTAACGATCACTGACAAATTTATTAAGGCTATATTCACCGTATACCATGAAAAGCCATCCGATATAGGCGAATCTTTGCTGACGTCTTTGTTTACATTTTTCAGCTCTTTGGAAGCAATATTGAAGTAACTATCAGCCATCAACAACTGCGAAATTGCTGAGTGGCAAAAAAGTTAATGAGCCATACATTCTCTGTAAAATTTCGAGTTTTTGGAAGAGAATTTCTCCGAAACCATTCGGTGTATTGGGCTCAAATTTTCAGAGATAACTGAAACTGTTATGCCCTTTCAATATTCAGAGTTTTTATTTTATTAGCGTCATCAGATAGTGATAAGCATATGTTAATGAGGCAAAAAGTGTAAACAAAGATTCGCCTATAATGTAAACAGTAAACAGCAATGCAGAACTGCAACAAGTCGTTCACACAAATCGAAAACCGTAGCGGTTGGCCGACAGGGTTTGGTAAACTAAATCACAGTCCTCACTCCTGAATATTTACTTTCGTCTGAGTGGATTCCTCGCTACTACTTATTCACTTCCTCTATGGTCAGAAATCCTGTTCACACTGCACCAAGCTTCACTCCGTTACAGAAATCACGCCGAAGTGACTGTGTGAAAAGAAGATCTCCCCAGGAAGGTTTTTGCGCCCGCGCAAAAGCTATCCGTTATAGCGGAAACATATTCTAAGTTCAGCAAACTTAGCGATTGAGACGATCATACCCGCCAAAATAACCCTTAAGTGATCGTAAGAATCTTAACAAACGCTAAGATAACTTGCTTTAGATCTAACTTACGCCTGGTTTCCACATGATTGTTAAGATCCTCGGACCTTTTTGTATATGAAAATCATCCTTTTTAAAGTTTCGTCCAGTTTAAACTGTCTGAAACCCTTATAAACTAAAAAGCACTAAAAAGCCCCATTTTTTTCGTTTGTTCACACGAACAATAAACCGAGGTGTAGCTTGAAATTTCCTAGAGCTATTCACAGTTTTGAAAATTAACCCAAATCCGTCTCGTGGATAGTTTTCACGGAGATGGATTTAACGTTTTTTTCATCAGTGGTACTGTAGTGAGGTAATCATGTCTCGTGGCCTTAGAAGCATTAGAGTAATAAAAAGAAAAGAAAATAAACAAAGAAAAAACAAACAAAGGAGAGATATGCTCTTAACGCCTCATTTCCTGGCAGATTTTGTACCCGATTCCCTAATTGTAAAATACTACGTAGTTCGCGCCGTGAATATTTCTGGTGTCGCCCTTACCTTACGAAGTCCAAAAGCACGAACATAACGAATCCAAACCGGGGAGAGTGCCACGAACAACAAGTACGCGGCAACCACTGGCAGGCTGTGTAGCTTGGAAACACCATGAACAAAGTAGTGTAAAAATTCTGTAATTCAATGTAGAAGTTAGTATCTGCCATGCTTTATTTCATGATGACAAAAAGGAGGGTCCTCGTGCCAGTGGCTCGTGTGTTGAACGCAAAGAAAAATTTTAAAACGCTGTTACTTACAGCATTACCTCTGTCGATGTTTCGGTAATGATGCCTTGATTAGGGAAAAATATGTCAATCTGTAATAACGTTAGTTGCTTATTTTTTATTAAGTTTGGTAACAGCTGTAGTAGGTTGTGCTACGCGAGTCTCGTTAGCTTCGAACATAGCGCCTGCAAGCTCGAACCTACCAATGGTTGGCTGACTTCTTTTCAAAGAATAACACCTAATGAACGTTGGATTTAGCAAGGCCGAGCTCGAATCGCTCACTGTCGGGGAATCCGAAATCATCATGCAGATATTCAGCGTCCGGGGCATGGCTTGATAGGAATCTCTCTATGAGCATTCATGTGAGCAAAGTCTGCAGTAGGGCCTTCCGGGTCTCGAGGTCTATATTCCATCAGACAGATTATCCTGGAGTTTAGCCTACGTGAAGCCGCACCCTCCCTCCGACAAAGGAAAAACGGAGAGAGGCAGAGAAAATTTCATGTAATTCCGTTTTTCCTTTGTCGGGGGGAGGGTGCGGCTACCGGTAGGCTACCTGGAGTTATGCTCCCAATTCCTGATACACGCCTTCGCGACATCTCATCTCGACTACTGCAACTCCTCACTCTATGGTATATGATAGAAAACCAACAGGATCAAGTGGAAGGGTCCGGACCTCCCCCCGCCCCCTCCATCAGATCTGACGTTTATTTGAGACTGAATTTCTTACATCGAGAGGATCGTATATCACTTTTTAACTGGCTGATTTTTAATTTCCAGGGATATTCAAATATCTAATTGTTTTTGGGTACCCTCATATGATCTGTTCACCTCTGCTCGCAAAGCAGTATTTCCCGCGCCGACGGCGACCGGCGTTCACAGATTAACAAACACGTGGTCGTCTCTGTGAGAAGTAATTTGCCACAAAAAAGTTTAACAGTTCTTTCTGAACCAAAGTTTGGACCCCCTCCCCCCACCCCAATAAAAAATTCCTGGATCTTCCCCTGGGATCAGTTGCAGCAAGAGAGGATATCCTCTCTTGGTTGCAGACGATTCTAAACGCAGCTGCCCACATTGTCTGCCTAGTAGCCAAGTTCAATCACATCACACAAGTCCTTTGCAATCTACATTGGTGACCTTCGGTACCCTTCCCGGCACACTCAGTATAAAATACTACAACTCGTCCATCGAGCTCTCTTTGGTTTGGCTCCTGACTACCCAAAGAAGCTTCTAAGTTTCAAGGAGAGTGTTTCTTATAATTTAAGATCCAATATTAGCTATGAATTAAAGGTCCCCAAAACGAAGTGCAAGACCTTCCGGCACAGGGCCTTCGCTCGTGTTGGCCCCTCGCTGTGGAACAATTTTCCTGTAGCTATCAGGAGTACCGGGAATGTTCAGAGCTTTAACCAGGCTCCGAATATACTTTATCATTTCGTTTGGCATTTTCCCAATGAACCAATTCTTGCACAGTTCATAATTTCGTTGTCAAGTGATTGCGGTGTATTATTTTCATTTCCTTTGGGTGTACTATTTGTTAATGTGTTCGTATTTGTCAGCTTTTTTGTTCCCGTTTTAAAATATGTATTTAGTTTAAGCGCTACTAAATAAAATATCTTTACCTCTATTCAAAAATTTCAAAATGCGCACGTAAAAACGAAGATTTTGCGCACGCAAGTCACGTAAAAGCGAAAGCGTTTTGCGTGTTCCACCATAGTCCCCTCTACTAACTATGGCTTCACTAACTATCTGTCTTATCTATTGTATCTCGCGCCGAAAATGCCGATGGATAGACTACATCAGAGAGACAGGCCGTAGTCTTCGCAGTACTTTTCGAGATCACCGGCTCCGGGACCGACTGAACGCAGGAGCCGGCTCCTGCTGAACGTCATAACGAAGTGGTTACCCATTGTACGAGAATGGACTACCAGTTGGAGGATATGCAAGTGGCGGTTGTTAGAGCGGGGCTCCCGTAATTAGATAAAAACGACGCAAGGAGATGCGCTTTATTCACAACCTTGGCACTTAATCGCCTGATGGACTGAACCAAGATTTCGCTCTAACGTGAATTGTGCGCACCCGCATTATTCTTTGGATTCTCTGTTTACGTGCGCGTTTTAATTTATAATTCTCGCAAGTATCTAACGAATTGACATATTTTCCCTGATGAAGACAGCATTGCCGAGACGTCGGTGTTTATACTTCAAGTAACAGCAACGTTTTATACACAATTTTCATGTGAGTGATGCAAAACGAGGAACCGTAGATTAACTGGGATTTTTCCGACTCCTGACACACCACACCTGAAAAAGGCGGCCGCTAAGGGAAGAGAATGGCGAAGAAGGGGAAAGCTTGTGTCATGTTTGTGTACTGCCCCAATGTTCCGGGAATGTTCCCTCTTGTATTCGACGAACCCGGAAAGTATCTAAAATCCTTGTGGCCAATCCCATTAGCCTACAGCCCTACCCACCCTACATCTCTATAGAAAAATTTCTCAATGCAGTGTACTATCTAATGCGATCGGTAAGTGAGAGCGGCTACCCTCCAGCGGCTTTGTTTGCCTTATGACTAGAACGTATTGTCCAAATACGAAAGGACATCGTAACAATTGTCAACTGAGAACGAGAGTCTAAATAAGACCATTTTAATATTTTGTATGTCTTGGTCTGAAAGGAGTGTAGTACGAAACAATCCAAAGCACACCCCCTCACCCCATCCCCCCCCCCAACACACGACCACAACCACA